TAATTATATATATATATATATATATATATATATATATTTATTTATTTATTTATTTGAATTTTTTCTAATTTATAGTATTAATTTGTGATTTATATTATTTATTTCTCTTTATTTGTCTATTTTTTTTTAAAAATATACATAGTATTAATTTTTAAATTTGTATTGGTATATTATTATTTAGAGGGAGATTAAATTCATACCATTATTAAATGGTTTGTTACTTCATATTAAGACGAGGATATCTATTAGACAGAAAAAGGGAATAAATTCAAGAAATGTTTTGACAATTTAAATTAAAATCGTGTTACGTATTTGTTCAAGATTTCCGGCTATTTTTTATTCTTAATATAATTAAAAATATAATTTCTAAAATATGATAAATAATATATATGCAACAATTTTTTTACTCACTATTTTACCTATCTTTTAATAGATTTGTTATAAAATAATATATTGTGGATGTCCACTACATCAAGAAGTTACTCCATTATGAAGATAACCATAACCTCCATAACCTCCACCTTTATAACCATTATTCTTGTAACATTTCACTTCCATAACCTCCCCATTATATTCATGTTAATGTCATGTTTATGACTAACCTTTTGTATACCTCTATGTTACACTATAAATAGAGGCATAAGGGTTCATATTGTATACACTTGAAGACTTGGAATAATAAGAAAAGCTCTCATCTCTTGTCTCCCTATTTCTATTACTTTCATCTTCTATATTTCTTATCTTATTTTGCTTTAGTTTTATAACACGTTATCAGCACGAGTTGCTCATTCTCCGTCAAGAATCAATGGCAGGTGATTTTCCTAGTAATTTTTCGGTTGCATGGTATACTTCATATCCTATATATTATTTGTACTAACAAAGCTTGTTTTGTGGTTATTTTAAAATGGTTAGTAAATTATGATAATCTTCATAACAATGTTGAGAGGGATTATTAAAATGTTTTAATTTATTTTAACTTGGGGCTTTTATATGATTCTAACATGTTGTTCTAATTAATTGATTTTGTTCATTTTTCTTGTACTTTAAGTCAAATTCAAATTATATTTATGGTTTTCGATAATTATTTTTTTGGTAACGTATTTGGTTTATCAAGGACATTGTTTCTTAAGATGGTCCTTTAAATGTGAAGGTAAATGTTAAAGATAGTTTTTATCCATCAAAGTGGTATGAGAAGTTATTGGGCACATTGTTGTTGGTGCAACCCAATTTGAAAAGTTTTGTAAATCCTCTATCAAAATAAAGGAATACAAAGTGGTAGTACAATTGGTACATTTGACCTCTTAAAGTGATGTTGAGGTGAGCCACATAAATTTGATAATGCCAAAGCATGACAATGAGTTTCAATAAAAACTTGTGGAGAATGTACAAATGGTTATAGTCCATTTCTTGAGAAAATGTGACTTGTGTTCGTATGGATAAGACATGTTCATGTATTGTTGGATGAATGTCACATCTCACCTCTACGGGGAGGTTTGAGAGATTGAAAGGAAATATTATGACATAAATGGTCATTTTGGTCATATACTTTGAGTACTACACAAATATTGTGGTATGTTTTATATGAACTATTGGAGGACAAAAGAAAGAAATAAATATTTTCTATAAAGGTTGTGGCCAATTGAATTCAAAATAAAATGTTGTTGTGTGGCAACACAAATTTGTCATTGATTGTCAAGAAATAAGTCTTGCATGTAATAATTTTAACCATGACAATAATAATAATTTTCTCATTGAAGGAGATGGTCACCATAAAAATGGTGTTGTGAAATTTATGGTAGTACACAAAATTAATTGAAAGTTCTGAAAGAGCTGATTTGTTACTACCCGAAATGAAATTGTTCATAATATTGGGATTGTAGTAAGTCTCAAAAGAAACTTTAAGTTTCGGAAGAATTGAAAAGAAAAAAAA